CGCGCCACTGCACTCCAGCCTGGGCGACACAGCGAGACTCCGTCTCAAAAAAAAAAAAAAAAAAAAAGATGCATCCTGATTCCAGAGATATTAAAATGTTAAAACTGTATATCTTAAACTCAACATTTAATTTGATATCTAGAGACTGAAGCACTTAGAAATAAAATTTACTCAAGCTACCTTATGTGTTAGAAGATGTCCTATTCAGCACTGCTTATGTTTTGTTCTCAGAAAAATGTCCCCTTATTCAGTTATAAGCTCTGACCTTAAAGAGTTTTAATCTTTTAAGAAACAGTTGTTAGTAACTAGTAATGGATGGTATGTATTACCCTTAGCCCTCTCGTTTCTCTAATATACCAGACAAAAGTGTTTTCTCTAACTTTATTGATCTTCCTTAGGACCAGACTCTGGCTGAACTGCAGAACAACATGGTACTAGTGAAACTGGACCTTCGGAAGAAGGCAGCATGTATTGCTGAGCAGTATCATACTGTGCTAAAACTCCAAGGCCAGGTTTCTGCCAAAAAGCGCCTTGGTGCCAACCAGGAAAACCAGCAACCAAACCAACAACCACCAGGGAAGAAACCATTCCTTCGAAATTTACTTCCCCGGACACCAACCTGCCAAAGCTCAACAGACTGCAGCCCTTATGCCCGGATCCTACGCTCACGGCGCTCCCCTTTACTCAAATCTGGGCCTTTTGGCAAAAAGTACTAAGGCTGTGGGGAAAGAGAAGAGCAGTCGTGGCCCTGAGGTGGGTCAGCTACTCTCCTGAAAAAATAGGTCTCTTTTATGCTTTACCATATATCAGGAATTATATCCATGATGCAATACTCAGACACTAGCTTTTTTCCCACTTTTATATTATAACCACCTGTGTAATCTCATGGGTTTTTTTTTTTATTTACTTCTATGGTATCTATGCACACAAAAACAGTTATATTAAAGATATTATTGTTCACATTTTTATTGAATTCAAAATGTAGCAAAATCATTAAAACAAATTATAAAAGGGGCAGAAAAATTGAGAATCAAACATCATTCTGGACCATGGGAACCTTGAAAAGGCATGGCAGTGGAGACCAGTAACTAGTATACAGCTTGCTTAAGAAGGCTTAGTAACAGATGAATTCAAGTCGTATTAGATATTCTAAACCTTCCTTAACATAAGATGAAGTGTCGGCCGGGCGCGGTGCCTCACGCCTATAATCCCAGCACTTTGGGAGGCCGTGACGGGCAGATCCCGAGGTCAGGAGATCGAGACCATCCTGGCTAACACAGTGAAACCCCGTCTCTACTAAAAATA